GCCTTTCTTGGATGTCCTGGTCTGAGGTTGCTTTTTCCGCCTCCAAGTCCTTCCCGGCACTTCCTTTGGCGTCGCCTTTCTTGGATGCCTGGTCTGAGGTTGCTTTTTTGTGCTTTTCTCTCGTTCTGTGTGATATGATCCATATTTTATTAAGTAAACCTGACCCTTTACAAATTGATTATTCATTCATTTTTGATTTCATGGGAACACATCACACACAATGCCTAATTAGCAAAAACAACATATCGTCCCTTTCGATTAAAACAAAGATAAGCACACAACTAATGTGCTTCCACAGTTTATGTGATATTGTACGGACAAAGAATCATTTTTGGCAGTTTGATGGAGTTTTGTCACTCCAGATAGAGCTTTAGACAATGAGCACATTTAAAGTAGAAAACTTTTGTTGCAAAACCATCTAGCGCATATATATTGTGGCACTAGCTTGATGTATTTACGGTTCAACCTCTATTGTTATGAGATATTTGTTCTGCATAAATATTGTATAATAACGAATAGGCCATACTGATTTAATTTTATGGATGACATCCTCTGAAGACCCCCAAACTAGTGCGCGCGGGCGAAAAAAAAATAAAAATCCGGCCAAAAATAAAAATGCTACAAAACCACAGGAATACAAACCTGGTATTGTGAATTTGGCGCATTACATAGCGACGTATACGACAGGCCGACACATGCTGGATTTTTGCGGAATATATGAATCGACACTGCTGTACGTATGTACTGAGTTCTTGAGTCTTGGAGCTTCGGTAGCCTGGCTGCCGTCAACCAGAGTTATCACCACCATGCACTACCCAGGCCTAAAGCCAGGCCAGAGCCTCGGAATACGTGATCTTTTTTTCTTTTTTTTTTGAGATCGGGCGAAAATCAATGCGCGCGCGGATGTCATCCATAAAATTAAATCGGTGTGGCCATATATAGAAAAAAAAAGTGTACCAGGTCATTCATGACTTCTGAGTAGTTCAACTCGCCATCAACCAGTCCTTGCAGCATTGATAGTCGCTCCTCTGTGCTGGTCATGTCCGGATCCTTGAGGAAGTCCAAATGGGACGGCTTTAGCGGAGTCATTTTCTGCCCAAGTACTGTCTTTGACTCCCACCTCCTGGCGAACTCGACGATGCCCTTGAAGACAGCACAGGGCATGCTGGCCAGGCGGATTGTCCTACTGTAGTTGTTGTTAAGTTGTTTTCGCTGTTGATTAAATTAAACATAGCATTGGCGTGTCCACTCAGATTTTAATAGATCCATTGAACATGCTGCAACATTATTACGGAAAAGCAATTTAAAAACGGAAAATGCTCTATCATTTTGACATGCTTTACCCAGCTGACTTTATTGACAACAAGCCAACAAAGACTTGGTGTACCCCAAGGCTCATTATTGGGCCCGTTGTTGTTTTTAATTTATGTTAATGACATGCCAAATTGCGCCAAATCTTGTGAAATATCAATGTATGCAGACGACACTGTCATCTACTATAGCAGCAAGGATGTTAGCGATATTGAGTACAACCTCCAAAATGATCTAAATACTCTTTCTCAGTGGTTCACAGATAATTCGTTATCCGTAAACAGTGGTAAATGCAAACTCATGCTTATTGGAACAGATAAAAGGGTTAACAGTTGCAGAAGCCCTGAAGTGTATATCAATGGGGCAACTGTAACGGAATGTACCTTTTACAAATACCTAGGTGTGTTAATTGATCGTAATCTCAACTGGAAGTGTCAAATAAATGCCGTCTTGGGCAAACTCAGGCGATCACTCAGCATTTTAAAGCACGTCCGCACATTCCTTCCAACATCTACTCTGTTAACTTTGTATAAAACTATATTTTTGCCACATATTATATACGCCTGCACTGTCTGGGACACTGCGCCCGAACGTGAGTTGGGGAAATTGCAAAGGTTGCAGAACCGAGCTGGCAAGCTGATTCTACGAGCCCCGTATCTAACTCCATCAGCCGAAGTCCACCGACGTCTGGGCTGGATGGACGTAAAGTCAATCCACAAACATCACAAAGCCCTCCTACTACATAAGGCCCTGAACAACCAACTACCGCCGTACATGCGCCGGATTTTCACATACTGTAGGGATAGAGCGACCAGAAGCACCAGACAAAGCGCGACTGATCTCCTTGCGGTACCGATGCCATTAAGAGAAATATACCGGAGATCCCTAGCCTACTCTGGCTCTCTTGTATGGAACGCTCTTCCGCAGCATGTTAGAGCAGCACCTACTCTTAGAACCTTTAAAAGACTGCTAGTATCGTAACTGACTGGACGACTTTGGACACAACGAGTTATGAGTTATTTATTAGTTATTGCCATTTTGTTTATTTATTTACTTTGTGTGAGTTACCTTATGTATAAAAAATATTACTTTGTTTTCATTTGTGAGCAAGTAGTATTTATGTTATGACCCCCTGAC